GCTTAGCTGCTGACTGCTCTTCACCCCTATCCAATACTAGGCATCGAGTATTAGTAACTGAGGCCTCCAGAGACAATATAGTCCCAGGTGCCATCTCAGAAAGAGCATTCCTAATTCAAATGGAAAGAGTTGTGAGGGGTGAAGAGGGTGGAAGGGCAGGTCATAGTGTGCATCCCTCCAAGGCAGCAGGGCTTCAGAAATGGTAGTGTGGGAATTGCATGTAGGCCAGAGGAGACAGGAGAGTGGGCCAAGGACATAGATACCTTTTCCAGGCCACTCAGGATCTTCTCCAGCTCAGGTTTAGTGAGGATGCTGGCCTTCTCCAAGGCTTTGGCGTAAGCCACACTCGACTGAATGTCAACATCAGCCAGTCTCTGGTCAATGGCAATGGAGGAGGTGAGAATCTCCAAGATGGGATCCATACTTCCAGTCAATTTTCCTCCTAGATGTTTATCACCCTGAAAATAATAAAGTTAAATGTTAAGTTAAAAAAAAAGTTTACTTATATGTTCTCCTAGAAAGATCTTATGTTCAAGCAGTAAGATAGAAGCTATGCCCATGCATGGGTAATGTGCAGAGTGCAGAATGGGAACATCTGAATACCTTTTAGAATTAGAAATATTCAGGGGAAAAAAGGAAAGAACTGAGACATCCCAAGATGGGTTTTCCAGCAGTTATCTTTAGGACTCTCAAATCCTGCATTTTGATACCATGGACAGCGGAAAACTGCCCAGGGCAAGTTGCAAGCTAGTCTGTGCCAGGTGTTTGTCAGAGCACTGTTTTTTTTTCTTTCCCTAGGCACTGTCTCCATATATTTGGTAATCCCTGGTGAACCATTGAGCCTGGGAGGACAACACATGAGGATCTGTGAGGTAAAAGTATTTGCGATATTTCTTAAGGCATTTTTTGTCAATATGAGCTGAAAATCAGAGTGAGGAAAGCAAAGTTTTGCAGATCCTCTCTGGGAAGAGAGTCCTCAGCAAAGAATAGCACTGGCGATGGAGAGTTTAGGCTAGTGCTATAAGGCAAGTTCCTGGTCAGGGAACAAGCGTTTAAGTATATCTTAACTACTGTGGGTTTTCAGCAGAATTAGAGGTGGGTTATCAGAAATATTGCAGCATTTTTTTTTCCCCTCTAATCAAAACCCCGGGAAAACAAATTAGGTAGAAAAAAAAAGCACCCTGATGATATGGCACCTTGCACTGCTGGCATTCTAACTAAGTGCAGCCTTCATTTGTCAGCACAGCCCAGAGACAAGCACAGTAAGCAGGAGAAGCAAAGCTCGCCCTTACCTCGGTTGCCATTTCGGACGACGTTTTGCTTGCGTGTGTAGAGATCTCAGCAACTCGTGCAACCTGTGGAACGGCAAAGGCTCAGCTGTGTCCCCCGGCACAGCCCCAGGGTCCCCGTTGCCGCGCCGGCACCCTGCGAGCTGCCGAGAGCCCCAGGCCGAGAGCAGCAGGAGGGAAAGCTCCGCTGCCTGCCCAGCCCCGCTGCCTGCCCGGTCCCGCTCACCGGCTCCACAGTGCAGCCCTGGCTGGTTGCTCCCTGCTCCCCAGCTCTGCAGCCCGGGCTTTTAAAGTGCCTCGGGCAGCTCGTCCCGCCCCACCGGGGTGGAGTGTCCCCAGGGACAGCCCCGCTCTGGTCCCCTCAGCTCCCTTCCACCCTACCCAGCCCTGGCTCCTGTTTGACTAAGGCATAATAAGCAAAATGGGGAGAAAAGTTGCCTCTGAGGCAGAGTTGTAGTAAGATGCAGGGATGGGAGAAGTGCTATCATTTTGCTAGGGAGCATGCTGCTCTTGGGCTAGCTTAAAGCAATGTTTCTGCACAGCCACGGTAGCATCTGTGTGGTTTCAGCAACAAGCTGCTTTTCTAGGAACCGTTTGCAATGTCTTTGCGCTGAAGGAGTTGTCTCATTCCAGCATCCCTCTCTCATTTGTATTTGTATGTGTACTTGGTATGAGGCTTGGATCATCGACGCTCCGTTCCCACTGCTGCTGTCCTGCAAACACACAAGAATAAAATTGATGCGAGTTAATTGCTCTTCTCCTGTGTGGATGAGCCTTTCCCCCCACTTCGATGCTGCAGGTCCAGCTTTGGGGATTTGCTGTTGTCACCCTTTGCACAGAGTCACTCCCGGACTTCCTCCAGCCGCCCACAGCGATGAAGTGCCAGTGCCGCAGTGGGCACCGAGCCTAGCATGGGGTCACTGCGTTTAGTGCCATGCAGCCCTGGCAAATAGCCCATGTACTAAACCCATCAAACTCTAAATATCCTGGATGGAGAGAACTGATGTAAAATACAGGGCAGCCACATGAGGAATAGCTCCCAAAGCTGTTTGGCAGCGCCAGAATCTCACCAGCTCCCCAGACACAAGGAGGTCTTTACTCCAGCCGGTCTACAGAAACCAAATTTCTCTCAGTTTTGACTTAATAAGTGTGATACTACAGTACAATATTTTTAAATCTGCACAGTCCTTCGAGGGAGCTTAGGGAACGTAATCAAGATCCACCCTCCTTTTTCTTTCTTTGTCATTCTCTACTGTAGTCTCAGTTCTGCTGTCTACTCTTATTTTCACTAGGATACAATGCTGATCATTCTGTTATCACATTCCTTCCTATTCTTAACTTCTTCATTTATATTGCTTTTCGTGTCTCATTCATGCCTTAGGAGTATTCTTGTCCTTATTCGGGGCTTTAACAGAAGGTTGCTGATGTGTTGGAAAAGTAGTAAGCACTTCATTTATAGCCAGAATGGATCGTGTACAGAAAACATCTTTACATCATGATGCTTGTGATATGGGCGCAAGGCTGGGAGATAGTCTGTGCAAGGATAGTGTGTGTTTCTGTCTGCTTTACTCCAGCCGGTCTACAGAAACCAGATTGCTCTCAGTTTTGACTTAATAAGCGTGATACTACAGTACAACATTTTTAAATCTGCACAGTCCTTCGAGGGAGCTTAGGGAGCATAATCAAGATCCACCCTCCTTTTTCTTTCTTTGTCATTCTCTACTGTTGTCTCAGTTCTGCTGTCTATCTCCTCCTATTTCTCCTCCATCCTACTAGGATGTCTACACTAGGAAACAATGCTGATCATTTCGTTACCACATTCCTTCCTATTCTTAACTTCTTCATTTATATTGCTTTTCGTGTCTCATTCATGCCTTAGGAGTATTCTTGTCCTTATTCGGGGCTTTAACAGAAGGTTGCTGATGTGTTGGAAAAGTAGTAAGCACTTCATTTATAGCCAGAATGGATCGTGTACAGAAAACATCTTTACATCATGATGCTTGTGATATGGGCGCAAGGCTGGGAGATAGTCTGTGCAAGGATAGTGTGTGTTTCTGTCTGAAGATAGTGAACAGAACTTCCACAAACTAAGAAAAGGGCAAAGGGAGGGCTCCCAAGTGCTGTAGCCCAAGATTGGTAACGCAGTGACTTCATCTGAAGTAGTTTGTGATGATATATCCTAGATTTTGGACTTGCTGCTATTGAAATCACTTGTTCCACTGGATGCTATGGGCTAGGACTGGGACATGAATCTGCAGCCATCTGCACCTGAGTATTATTCAGGAGGGACAACTTGCTTGGATTTCTGTTGTGTTACTTTTCATAATCTATCCCTTGACTTCAAATCTGGTTAAGAAAGCAAGAAGCCTTTTTTGAGTGATATAGGTGATTTTATTTTTAATAATCTATGCCTGATATTATACATAGTAATGGACGTATGCTTTCCTGTGGCATCTGTCAGCAGTATCACTGTGCGTTTAACAAATTTGATCAGGATTAGTTTGCTTGTAGTATATTAACTCCTGTCCTAGTTTGTATCTAGGAGATTTATTAATTCTCCTCCCATTTCTAGATGAAATAGGATTTCTTAAAGAGGCTTGGCATTGAGGAGCTGATTTTTTTTTTTTGGTAAAAACAGTGAAACAGCACTGCAAAACAGGTCTTCTAATGCACCCTGAAATGGATTCTCAGCATTACTATTTTCTCTATTCTGTTTTTGGTGTTTTTCCACTTCCATTTCCTGTCTTATTCTTTCAGTGTTTTACTTACTTGGTGAAGTAGAAAGTTTATCCTTTAAAAACCCTATCCACAGCTCAATACCAAGGAAGCTCTGATGGAAGAGCATGATATGTTCCACTTACTTTTCTTCTGGGCACAGCGTCACAGCCTGCAGCGCATCCCCCTTACAGGAGTTTAATTTGAGTCAGAGTTTAGCTGCTTTAGCTGCTGGAGTCCAAAGTCAGCTTCGTTACTGATAAATGCTGTTGTGAAGAAAGCTCCAAGTGAGGACCTGTCTCTTCTTCCCCCTGGGAACTGCTGTGAAGCTGAGGTTTGCCCACTGCCCGGGCCTGTGCTGCACCACAGACAGACTCAGTCTGTGCCTGGTTTCCACCTCCACGAGTCTCACCCGGACCTGGACCCGGCTGGGCTTCATGGACTGCCTTGGACTTGCTTCCTTGCTACAGACAGGGTGAGCATCTGTGTGACCCTCACTGCCGTCTCCAGCCCCTGGCAGTGCCATTCTGCATCCCAGCTCCATGGTGGTGGCAGCCTTATTGTCACACTCTGCTCCTCGTCTGGCCTCACTGCTCTGCAACACGCAGGTCATATATTAATATTCCCAGCTATGCTCTTTTCCAAGCTGATGTACTATGGGATAGTGAGTAAACTGAACACGGAGAGTTTTAATCAAATATATTTTAATGTCCTCAGAGATTAGAATATTATTTATATTTGCTTTGTAATTACGGCCACATCCTTACTATTTCTTCTAGAGTGCCTTTGTGTTGGAAGATAGTAATGTGTGTGGAGTTCACCTCCGAAGGAATGCTGTAGTGATTTCTAGAAATGCACTATTCACCATAGGACTAATTGTAAAAAACGAGTCTGATAAAGAAAGAAAATGACATAAACTGCTGCACTGCGTTGTCTTTAAAAACATTCTTTTTTAATTGTCATTTTAGTTTAGAAAAGGAGAAAAAGCACTATAGACTGAAAGTGCTAGTCGAATGCACTGTCAGCTAGGCTGGTGTGAAGAGGTGCTGACATTTTTTGTTAAAAAAAAAAAACTTTGTTTAATGAATTTTGAATGTAAAAGAAAAAAAAAAGACACTATAGGGTGATCAGCAAAACGCTGAATACAGTAAACATCTTTCATGACAAAGAATACAAATACCATGCAGATCTGCTTTCAATAGCAATTACTAGGCCCCCTGCTTTCAATAGTTAATACCGAGGCCCCTCTCTCACCAGCCTTAGTGGTTACAATCACAAGCCAATGCTTAAAATGTTGACATACTAAGCACATTTAGAAAACCTATGTCTGCATTCCCTATGGATGGTGTAGCATAACTGTCTAACATCTAAGTGCAACAGTTAAAAACAAAGTCAAGTCAGCTAATCACCCCTCCTCTCTTGAAAAGTTGTGTGTATGGATAATGATCTCTCCTAGAGATTCCCCTTCTGCCTTGCATGATGTCAGTGGATTTCTGGCTGCTCTGTCTTTGTGAAATTTGCAACAGGGTGTATGTCTCCATAGGGAAAATATGTCTTTAATGGAAAAAAAAAATCAAAAGCCATTTAGAGAGGTGTATGTATTGTGCTTATTCTTCCCAGCAGCTGGGAAGGGATATGGGTCATCATGGATGCTAAAAATTTTATCAGCGAAGGCCTGGAATGAAACTTTTGGAGAAATACTGAAAATATAGATGATAAACTGGATTTGGGGCAGTAAGGTAAAGAAGAGATGCTGAGGGAAAGTAAAATAATTATGTGTAAGATTTTGAACCTATATCTGAAGAGAATGATGAGGGGAGGGCAAGGATTAGTAGATTTAGCCTGGAGGTATATTCTTGAAAGAAAGGTGATGTCCTTTCCATTCTTTTCTTCCCTTTGATCTAGCTGGGAGCAGGAATCTAAGGCAGTTTCACAGACAGGGTTTGAAGCGTGGCAGAGAAGTTAGAGAGCATTTGCTGTGCCAGTTTTGGCCCAACTACAAGGTCAGTTAATCCTGACATGAAAAAGGACAGCATCCATCACATCCTATCCACTGATTCACGCCAATGGCTTTCGGTCTGCAGCGTGAAGACCTTTCCCCTGGCTCTTTTCCCTGAGGAGTCCATGAAAGGTGATTCTGGAACGTGAATTCATTTCCATCTGTGCCACAATCTGTGTAGGCAAAGGGGTTCCATGTACCCAGTGATACTTTTGGGGGGTCTGCAACTGAAAAGGGTTGTCCAAAACCTTTGCAGTAAGTTTTTAAACTTTGTCTACCCCTTAGGTATCTGATCACGCTGGTCCACCCCAGTGCCTGTGTCTCCCACAGCTCTTGCTTTGAAGACTGCCCTTGAACCAGATGGGTCCAATCCTTCCGAGACCCGGGTGAGGAACACCCTGGAGCAGAGCAACATGCCAGGCTGAGAGTTCCTCTGACTTGGCTCTGGAGGGAAGACTGGGTGGTGAATTTTCTGCTTTTCTATGAATTTTCAGTGTTCAGTTTTCTCAAAAGTGAAAAGAGTTCTTGCGATATGCAACAGCACATATATGAAAAGAGAAAGAAGTTGTAACACTGATGAGCCTGGTAAGATATATGCACACGTTGGTTGGGAACAAGACACTGCGGCTTAGCCCTAATCCCCCTCTAAGAACACGTGCTTTCAAAGACGGCTGGAGAAAAGCAAGACTTACACCATTATTTCAGCGTCAGTGTTCTATGTACACACTACTAGAAATTTGGGCTGGAAGGCCCTCTGAAATACAAATTTCTGCTTATCATCATTGTACCTAAAGGTAGTTAATTTTCCAAATCCAAGTAGATTTTCATTACACGTTTTGCCCCATGTGCCATTTTTTGTACTGAGCTTTCTGCCCGCAGTAGTTGCTGTTCTGCAGAAGTGCAGTCTTTCTTTTAAACATACAAAAGATCTATTGCAAAAAAAAAAAAAAATTATATGCTATTTTCTACACAACCCAGAGGACCTGGTGGGCACAACTGCTTTAAACTGCCGGGACAGGTCATTTACTGCCCATGATGGTTTTTTGCCGGTGTGGATGTGAGAGCAGTTGGGTGCAGACAGTGCAGAGGCGCCTCTGCCCAGGTGGAAGTGCGCAGCCGGGAAGAGGTTTATCAGCACCAGCATTGGTGGTTCAGTGGTAGAATTCTCGCCTGCCACGCGGGAGGCCCGGGTTCGATTCCCGGCCAATGCAGTTGCCTTTTTTTTTTTTTTTCCTTCAGTTTTTCCTCCTGCTTCCTATATTTTTACCTCCTTCCCTTCCTCCAAACCCTGTTTCCTCTCCGCCCCGTTCTTCCCGGCGCCCTCGCTCCCCGGGCGCGCGCGGGGAAGGGAAGGGGAAGGTGGAGGAAGGTCCCGCCCCGGGCAGGCGGCGGCCGTGGCGGCCTCAGT